TGATAAAAAGATTTTCGCCCCTCTCTGTGTCACGCACCAGGCAAAGACGTTGACTTTGCCATCGACATCGCCATGGCAAATGCACCCCTGCCATGTAGCCGCAGTTGGATTGTCTCATACATCCCAAGATGGTGCTTTTCCATCTGCAACTGGGGTATATATACAATGGTGCAACGGTTCATACATACATAAATATTATATCATATATGCATATATATATATACATATACATATCATATAAACATTTATATATAACTATACGTATTACTGGTCACCAATTGCTACCAGCCATAGACTGGGATGCAGGTTCAAGTCCAAGTAGGTCCACTGAAAGAAATCAACGGAAGGCAACACAAGGCCTGGACGACTTCCAGGGGAGGTGATGGCGCCGCAAAGCCAACTAGATTGGAACCCCCAAACTCTTGAGCCCCCGAATGGCGGCGGATGATGCAGGATAGTTGGTCTAGTTGGTCCTAAAAGCACAGCATGCAGCCGAAGTCATTGGTCCCAAGGTCCCAACTACCAGGTTTGATGATGAAACGATATAATTTGGTAAGAATACAACTATCCCAAACCTAATCATGACCTAATCTATATTAGGAAATAATTGGGTCCCAACCTAATCAGTTTTGTCAAGAATTGCCCTCGTGACCTCTTCAGAGCGTCTAGGACCTGCTTCTCTGCTGTCTTGCCTTTCGCGCGAAGCAGGCTCCTGACATTGCATTTTTCGGCCCCCAAAAAAAAGGAATCGTGAGGACCACACCCTGGCTCTCAAAGAATGCTTCAAAGTCTTGGAAGCTTAGAATCAAACGGAACAAATGTCTTCAACCCGATACATGCTATCTCAACCTTCTAATTATTGTGGTTTCTATTGTTTTTTTTGCGCCATGCCGTAATTCAGGGACAAGCATTGCCATTTCAGACTGACGTCAGGGTATGGCTGGAGTGTAGGTCCCAATGCTTTCAACGTGAGCTGGTCCTCGTCTGAAGCTCCACTGGAAAATGCTCATGGCCTTGGGACAGTCCACGAGGGAGCCGAGGAGCCACCCTTGTTGGCAAACACTTTGGCCCCACTGAGTATCAGGCTCAAACCACCGGCCTTCACAATGGCTACCAGCCTACATCTCAGCACATTCTTGCAAACAATCTAAAACTCTAAAACCCACACATGGCTTGTGGCGATGGCTCTAAGCTCACCACTGGTCTTCCGCACTTGGTGTCGCCCTGGCTCATTGCCAGGTTGGATTAGCAAGGGGTATGCCACCAGTGGATGCTGGCAACTTAGCTCCGGGCGATTTCGTCAAACGCCACTTGCGCGACTTGTCAGCCTGCCATCCAAGAAGCACAGCCAGATCAACAGCTGCTACGACAAACCGCAAACGATTTATCGCCCCACCAGCCTTGTGGATGTAGTATGGAGACCTTATTCCATCAGCACTGGCACTGCATGCTGCAGTATCCGCCTTCAAGCTGCAGCATCCTCTTTCACATAGTATTTCTACGGGGGCAAACCCCTCAGCTTGGACGACGTCTCCGAAGATCAAAAAACTCTGTGCTTTGTGGGGCCAAACGCACATGTCCATGATCATGGCTTTCATCTTGCAACGCACAGCTTAGCTACCTGTGCGTTGAATGTTACAACCACAACAACAACAACAACAACAACAACAACACCAACACCAACAGCAACAGCACCAGCACCAGCAACAGCAACAACAACAACAACAACAACCACAACCACAACCACAACCACAACCACAACCACAACAACCACAACCACAACAACCACAACCACAACCACAACCACAACCACAACGACGACAACGACAACCACAACCACAACGACAACGACAACAACAACAACAATAACAACAACAACAACAAAAAAACAAAAAAAAAACAACAACCACAACAACAACCACAACGACGACAACAACAACAACAACAACAACAACAACCACAACCACAACCACAACCACAACCACAACCACAACGACGACAACGACAACCACAACCACAACGACAACGACAACGACAACGACAACGACAACAACAACAACAACATCAAGCCTAAACTCTAAACCCTCAAACCCTAAACCCTAAACTCCTTTAAAAATTCCCTTGGATATAAAGTTTAAGCGGGGTGCGGATTTGAATTCCCTACAAGACTCTGCTGAAACATGTCGAAGATTCCCTTGAATATAAGTTTAACACGCCCTTCAATATCCTCTGAAAGGTGGTGTGGGCGAGGTGGGGGGTTTGCGCGTATTTCTATTCTGACCGTATGATAGGTATTGACCCATCCCAATATTTGGCTCCTCAGCTCCACACGTTTTCCAGAAGTGGAGCAGCCTGCGATGGTTCGTGATGAGATTGGCCTCCTGGCTGCGGTCTGTGGGCACGGCCGCAGCCACTCCCAGCGTTCCCCTCATAAGTGTTTGTCTCAAAATGGTGGATACGTCAAAAATTGCAATTTTCACCAGGAAAGTGATTGCTGTGTTAGGCATTACTAGAATTATTGAACTAATTATACAGTGAACCATCAGAACAGTTGAAGGGGGTCCAAATGTTGAGCCAGCCCCGAGCCTGCGCGCCCCGAAGCTCGCAGGCTTTGGGCACATGGCTCATGGGTTGCTGGGCATAAAGAGGTGGTGCCTGCAAGGAGGAGATTGGATGCCACAGGGGCAGTGAAATCCATAGGAGACTGTCAAACTTTGATCATCACAGCTAGCAAGTCTGGCCTCCAGGATTGGCCCATAGTGTACTTGAAATCCAAGGCCCTGACCAGCATTTGCCATCAACTGGGGGGAGGGGGGACTACCCAAAATGTATAGGTTTTAAAAACTGTCGCCGGATTCCATCTGCCTTGCCAGTACCCTTCGAGGGTGGCCCACCCTGCACAGCACAGATGCAAAAAGAAGCGCTCGGAACTGCAGAATCTGTTCATCGTCCGTTGCGCCTTCCAGCCCTTCTTCCCTTTTCCGCCGCCCATGGCTAATGCTGTGAAAGTTAGGTCATGGAAGTCACGGGAGGAAACCTGCAGGGAAACGTCAACCAGACTACAACCGAATGACTAATTATTTGTAACGGGTGTATGGATAATCCTGCTGTGCTGCAGTTCTTGTTCCAACCTCGTACACGCGGATGTTTGTCCAATGATTCTTGATTGGTTTCTCCATTTGAGTCGAGTTTATGGCTGGAGGCCACACATGAGTTTTGTACGTTAGTAGAAATTGTGGAAGGAAGAAAGCAGCGATTCATGTCAGGCATCAAGGACTAGTGAAAAGTTTGCAGGGCCCAACAGGCCAGCCATAAGTCTGAGGCTGAAATGTCTCCGCGAGTAGATTGGGCCTAATGTGTCAAAGCATTACTGGCTTCTGTTGCATGCATGCCTTTGAAAGTCAACGGAGCACAAGCTGCTCCGAGTTGAGAACAGCAGAGCATGTCTGCAGGCCACAGAACAGAGCATGCCGGGCAAAAAATGGCCCAAGCTGGCATTGATTTTTCACTTTCCTGTTTCATCCATTGTGACAATAGTGACACTACTGTGGCTTCAAATTCGTGCAACCAGGCCATTTTTCACCTCTCGCATCGGACGAAGCATTTCTTCTCAGCCGACCTCCGGGCTGGCCAGAGCAATCAGATGACCCTTTTTTGATCATCAAACTGCACGGATGTATGTTTGTCCAAAAAAATGGTCAGGAAGTAGTTGCCCAAAAATCATTGGGCTTCCCCACATGACTTATGAGAGAAACAGCACGTGGGCTCCACATCAGGAGCAAAGGACGCCTCAGTAGGTCAGCAACTGCAGTGAAAGTTGGTGCAATCGAAGATCTGGAATGTCCCATTTGGCCCCTTGTGTGGACAATTTCAGATATGCTCGGCAGAAGTAAGCAAATCGATATGCTCATTTTAAGAATCACAAGACGGAACAGTTGCGAGAAGCAAAAAAAAAACAGCAATTTGAGCGACACCCAGTTTTTGGGCCACGAAGAGTTGTGATGGTGAGACTGTGACACACACATTTCCTGGCTCATGGGAATGTAACAGCCTCCTCAGCAGGTGAACATCACTGACACGATGAAAATGGCGTGCGGGAGTGCCGGATGCCGAACGTCTTGTTTTGGCCTGGGACATGAGTTGCGCTGTGGGTTCAGCAAATGTTGTGGAAGTCGAACCACTCAAGCGCTGGGAACAGTGAAATCGGATCGGTTCGAACTGGAACATGATCAGAAACACTAAACTGAACAATGCAGGTATCAAGCAGCAGAAAAGGGAAGAAGAACACATCACGCATTGACATACGAAGGTTATGAAGTCACCAGCTGTGGCCACTCTCAAAGAAATTGTTGCTAAGAAGTTTCATCTGGGAAATCGTCTTGGAAGCTTTTTGCATCACAGAAAGGGCACGCCAAAAACCCAATTAATTGTATCCTCCTGAAAATGCTCCGCAGAAAGATCAACTTGAAGGCACATCAACTTGGTTCGGTACTCCTCCCAAGCCGCACTGCAGCTTCCATAGGAGGCAGCTAGCAGCTAGGGCCAAGCTGACCAAGAAAAACACACAGCTCGCAAGTCTGCTGAAACTTCAAAAGCATCAAAGTCCCATTGCCTCTATATACATATATTCATACATATATATATATATGCGTGTGTGTGTGTGTGTGCGTGTGTCTGTGCGCGTGCGTGTCTATACATTTATATATATATATATATACATATATATATATAATGATTTTTATTGCGATGGCAAGCGTTCCATGTGCTCAATGGTGTTTTTGCTTGGCAAGTCTCCAGAAACCATTTGACAATCGCAAGCCTTTGGATCATGAATCATGACTCATCTTTCCATAATTGAATCTCCCATACAGTGTGTGAATTAGCCTCCAAGGCTACTTCCAGGCACTCACACATCCCATCCAACAGCACTGAGTGACTTTTGACTTCAGGTATCATTGTGACGCACCCTGCAGACAACATAGTTGGCTTAGCCATACCGCATGCCGCCCCAGGCGCTGGCCTAGAGCCACCCACAACCCTTCAGGTTGATCCAAAAATTGGCAGCTCTGTCCATGTTTATGTACATAGCTAACTGTCGGGCATAACAGGTGCAGTGGAAAAGAAGTAATAGGTACCAGGTAGTAAGAGGATCCTGCATCCTGACATCATTCGCCAAGCCGATACTCGTTTCCTCCTGACGAAAAATTGGCATGCAAAAAAAGTTTCAGCCCAATGACCGGTGCATCTTTAAAATCTACAATGTCACATCATGACTGGCGAAATCCAGATCGAAATCCCAAATATCCCCAGTATTGTTGAGGACATCCCCACAATCTCGTAGTTGATTGCATTAGTAAAGCACCCAGGGCAGATGTACATCCAATTACCCTCAGTAAGAAAAACATCCCAGCTTGGTCCATGTCTCCTTGTCGAAAGGCTCGGGTGATGCCCAAGGGCTCCTCACCCCAGGTGCACAAGACCTGGCTGGACCATCAAAGAGTACGTTTTTTGAATGGTTCAACGCGGGAGAAAGTGTCCAAAAAAAATCTCCACTTGGTTTACTATATATGTATATATACATATATATACATACATACATTACATTACATTACATTACATGACATGACATTACATTACATTACATACATACCATTACATACATACATACCATTACATACATACATACATACATACATACATACATACATACATACATACATACATACATACATACATACATACCATTACATACATACATACATACATACCATTACATACATACATATGTTACATACATACATATGTTACATACATACATATGTTACATACATACATATGTTACATACATACATATGTTACATACATACATATGTTACATACATACATATGTTACAGGTTAACAACTCACTTCCAACACCAAAAATCAATTCACTTCCAACACCGACTCACTCCCAACACCAAGAACTCACTCCCAACACCCAAAATCAACTCACTTCCAACAAAAAAAAGAACTTTTCGGCGTCGAGGGCGAGTCGATTTTCCGTTTCCCCATTAATACTGAGGCGTCACCTCTGGAACCCCATCATGAACAAACATTACAGGGAAAATGACCAACACTGAGAAACCCTTCAAGGGGATTCAACCCTTTAGGTTGGGGGGGGGAACCATCAGGGTACCATAGAGTGGGAATGATCAACACTGATAAACCCTTCAAGGGGATTCAACCCTTTAGGTTGGGTGGGGGGGGAACCATCAGGGTACCATACAGGCGGAATGATCAACACTGAGAAACCCTTCAAGGG